CTGAACCCATTAAATGTATACATTGTGTAGAACCATTAATTAATTTAAATGACCAATATATAAATATTTGCGTAGCTTTGTTGGAGAAATCCTCATGCTTTCAAAGATTTGTTTTAAAAACATAAATGTTGTTCATGTTCATTTTCTTCTTTATTGTGATTAGCATAGATTGACTATTAAAGATTTTTTGGCACCGATTAGTTTTTGGTAACTCATCAGTGTACATTGGTCCCTGCCAGGCCTACCTATGAACATATTCTCAAACAGCAACTGGATGCAGGAGCAGGAGATAGGTAACCTGACAACAGCCAGATGCATCTGGCTGTTGTCAGGTTAGGAGATAGGAACTACAATTTGAGATGTTCAGAGCCTTAATTAGTCTAATCACTGAATGTCATGGCTGCTGATTCTGAAGGGTTTAAATTCAGATTGTTACCTTTAGAATATAGTGTAAACTCTCAGTCACGACAGGGTTAAATTGGAAGCCAATTCAAGCCTGCTTTCCGGTTGCTTTAAAATACGATGATCATATCTTGTAACTGATTCATAACCCAAAGTACACTTTAGTTTCATTTTATTTTATTTCATTCATATTATTTTCATATCCACATTTCTAATTGAGTCAAAACAATATAATATAATTTACAATAACAGCAAAATCAATCAACTTTTTTCTCATGTGTGGATACAAAATCATTTGTTAGCAGTGCAAACAGCAATGGACTGAGTACACAGCCTTGTGGTGCTCCAGTTCTTATTGTTGGAAAGCTGTTTGTTTTCTGGTGCAGACACACTTTATTTTTTGTTAGAAAGTTGACACCCTGTCTACTTTTAAGGTTAGGCTTAAAACCTTCCTTTTTGATAAAGCCTATAGTCAGAGAAACTCAGGTTATCCTGAGCTATCTCTATAGTTATGCTGCTATAGGCTTAGACTGCTGGAGGACATAGGTACGCCTTTTTCATTATTCTGCTTCATTCTATCTCCATTTTCCCACTCAGCAGAATGTGTTAGTTCAATCTCTAACGTCTGCTCTCTCTGCTTTTTCTCATAGTAGCTTCATCTGGTCTGTTCCTGTTTGGCTGAGAGAGAAATATCAGCTGTACTGCCGCCATCA